CATAGAACGTCTAAAACGTTTTTATGATAGTTCTGTATCCCTACAGTTTTCGGAGGGCTGCGCCAGAATAAAATCAATCTATCAGTTGTTTAGTCAGTTGACTTGGTCGCCAAAAACTGAAAATGAGAACGAGAGTAAGCATCAAATAGAGCTGTATTCGACATACTTAGCGGAATATCATGAGCTGAGAAATCGCGACATCCCTCAGCGGCTGGAAACTCGTCCCAATATAGAAATAGCCCACACCCCCGCAAGAAACGAAAATCTGAATCATGCTTTCTTGCGCAACAACCAGTGATACGCACCAAAATCAGATACCCGCTCGTCACCATATGGAACAAAAATGGTCCAAATATGCATGGAGCGCGTGGTATTGGGAAATCGCTTACAAATCACCCAAGTGAAGACCAGGCTATATGCTTGTTACTATTGTAAAGCTGTCAACATTTCTTTACGCGTTTATGTGTCTGTTTTCTTTCTTATTTTCTGTTTATCCTCCACTAGCATTTAGCATCCACGCCACCTTGTACAAAATCTGTTCCCATCATAATGCTAACGTTTGTCGAGTGCCTTCCCCTCGTGACGACCCTCTTTCTGCCCGTTCCAAATGCAGGTGTTTTGGTGTTTAACATCGTTGATGTCCAAAGTAATTCGGAGGTAGTCTTCTGTCACGAAAACCCGAAGAAACTCATGAGCCACGACATTATGTTGTGTGAGTGGAGGAGCCACAACATCGCTCTCAAGGCTTCAAGAGAGGCGTCTCGTCAAATGACGAACCCACAAAAGAAACGACCCAAGTGAGGAACCCCTATTACATAAACATCACGCAACTCCGTCCAGCCTCCTTTTTCGGAGTGATTTTAGTCGTTTGGTCCAATCACATCTGATTGGGTTCCATCATCCCTCACCTTCCTTTGGACCAAATCGACCACACCGAGATTGTACGCATACCATGACCGGTTCTTTTTTATGTCTATTGATGGTCGCAGGGCGATCCTGATCTGACAGCTTATTCTAACTTACTGACACGGTTAAAAGGAAGCAATCGTCATCACCGCCCCGATGTCTCCGAGACCGTCACCCGTCACAGTCCATCACTTGCAATTTGTACTTGGGCCCGAAACTGGTACTGTCTGATGCTAAGTAAATCATGCGGAAAAGCCGCTATAATCAGAATTCAGTAGAGGTTTTCTTCGTCTAGTACTGTCAAAGCTCGCACAACCTTGCACGCAACACGATTGCACTTTCCATTGATTTGCTGGACTAATGAAGCATGTCTTGTTTCAACAGCGATGACAAGTGCGTTTCCATGCTTCTGGCGATTTCGGGTGGAAAGTTTATATATATGTATTTTTTTGCGATTATGTATGTGTTTTTTGCCCTTTCTTCTAGGACAGTTTTTAAGCGTAAAGAACGAAGCCGAGTATTATCTAGTCTCTACTCGACTTTGAGGTAAATATGTGGCAGCGTAATATAAAAAGTGGTGTTTAACTATAATTATAAGCAAAAAATGAAAAAACGAGGTTGCAGTGTTTAGATAGTCATGAGAACTGCGTGGGTTCGTGACCTCGCCCCGTGCATTATCGTTTGGTGTTTTGTGAATAGACCAGGTTGTTTGCCCCACGCGTCCCGCATAGAAGAAGTAAGGCAGATTCCAACATCCGACGAAAAGGCCACCGTTAACGTTCACCCGCCGGAGTCAAACTCTTCGTCGACGCCGTCACCGAAATCCCAGACCTCGTCGTTGCCGTACTCGAAGTGTTATGACTGGTCGACGATCCTCTCCACCAATTCGAGCTTTCAACTCTGAACCATCCTCTCCTTGCGAGGAGCTCTCCAATCTCCCTGAACGGTTGAAGACTCGTCCCAACACATATGTACGCCCAGACGCCCGCCATCAAGAAAGACACGTAGACAGCTTCAGTGAGGAGGTTGTCGGGGAGGTTGCGCTGGGCGATTTGTGTGCAGGCGTTCTGGCCGTTGGGGGCGTTTTCGTACACGCAGGTGATCCATTCTTGGAACCAGGCGGGTGGGGGCGAGGGGGGGCTGGAGTATTCCGCAGCGTTTGTTGTGAAATAAAAAATCTTTCATTCCATCGATGGTAGAAAAGCAGGAGTGTGGAGGAGAAGCAAGCGGAACCAGATCATTAGTTTGCAGTCTTCTTTCTCTCAAATTGGGGTTTATATTGACGTAACCAACATACCATAAAGAAGACAAATACACCACACGTAATGGTCGCCATCGCCATTCCTCGCCATTGCATTTTGACCTGATCCATGACGTATTCGAAAGTCGCGATAGCCCTTCCGCGGCTACTAAATGAATCGAGGTGAGAGCGACGGTATTTGCGTGCTCGGGCACTAACCTGTTGACGGGAAAGAAAGGGAGGAGACAAAGATGCGTCATTAAGCCGATTTCACCTCATTCACAAATTATTCCGACATCCTAGCCTGGTTCTGCAAAGCAAAACTTTCAGGGTATGCGTTCGAGTTCTCTGCAGGAACCAGAACGTGATACGCACCACAATCAGGTACCCGCCTGTCACCATATGCACTAAAAAGGATCCGAAAACGATTGGCGCACGGGGTAACAGCAGCGCATATTGAATATCCCCTGCAATGAAACCAGGGATAACTCCAGCGACCGAGCCAACGTTACCACGGATGAAAGGGGGGATGATGCATACGAATGACACGATCCAGATAACAATATGGATCAGGGTTTGGTATCTTTCGAGGATGTTGTTGCGCCAGACGATGGTCTGGGTAGATTGATTTTGGGGTTTTGAAAAAGGAAGGGTCAGTTCTTCGCAATTACGAGCATAGCCGGTCGGTTGATCTCTCAGACGTTCCCTGCACCGAACTCACCAAGTGGAGACTGATGATAATGGCCGGAACTGTATGTTACAAAGCATTTCAATAAGATACCGAGAGGTTAATTTTTGATTTGTCGAAAAGCCAAGAACAAGCCGAGAGGGTTGCCACGTCAAAAAGAACACAGAAAAGCACAAGAAAGGCGTTAAGGGATACTTACTGTATGATAAAAGCAAGTGTGTCCCAAAGTCCAAGAAAAAGGCCCCCACAACGATTCTCCAGCTGTTCGACATTTTCGCCTTTTTATGATACGAAACAAAAGCGTCAAACCATGTCACAAAAGTTGAGCAAATCTGACAAAAAACACGCCTGAACCCGCACGCATCCACAATTTCGATCTGATCAACCTACCTCCGTCACCGGATCCGCACAAAATGCGTCTTCTCTCGGCGTAACGAACAGCACAAAAGCAAAGGTAATGGCACCAGATACACCCGCCATGGTCGTCCAGATTGCGGGATATTGCCGCCGGCTTTTGATAAAAAGGAACATGGTTGCGTAGGTCAGAAAACCGAGGAAACTAATCCAGCTTAAGATGAGGTAGATGGTAAAGCTGCGCTGCTTTTCGCTGTTGGTGCCAAAGGGACATTGATTGGAGGATATTAGTTTGGAACTACCTTGTCATATGCACCAAAGAAAGGACACTGTGGAAGATGGTTCGCCGATAACCAGTACTTGGTACTTACCCTTCGGGATAGAAATTAGTCACAATCGGGCACGGTAAACAGCATCCCGATTTGCAATTTGGGTTATTTTCCGTTCTATTTGGATTCGGGTCGACCACAAAAGGCGGTGCACACGTCGGCCCTTGCGGGCTCTCTGTAGAGGCCGCCCCGGTGGAATTTAATAATGCTTTCGTGTATCCTGGCTCTAGGCAGTTGGTTGACGGGTAGGGTATGAAGGTTCCATTTTCGATACTTGCTTCGCAGCGGGGAAGGAGTGAGACACGGTTGCCGGCAGTGAAGATTTCTTGGCATTCGTTGAAGGCGGTATCGCATATAGATCTACAGGCGTAGATAGGGGTGACTGAAGTGCAAATGTGGACATGGGATGGATATGTGGTCAGTATATCATCAATCAGAAAGCTTTCGCGTCATCCCAAATCCATCATGTATACAGAAACAAGCTATACACATATTCCAAACGCTGCTCACCTGATCCACTTTCAGACGCGTTACATCTGGGATATCTCAACGCGCAATACCACTCCATGAAATTCTCATAGCACTTGGGGGCAAGTGCCTTCACGAGCCCCAACTGATCGATCGATTGCGCCCTTCCCCAGGCTTCAACGGATGCGATATCGGACCCTTCGCGGATATAGACAGTGGTATTGGGAGGCAGTAGTGAGGCGCACATAACAGCGTCGGGCCCAGAGTAGGGAACGCAAGCTGTATTTGTTTTGAAGTGAACGCGATTGATTTGTGGGGATTCGGAGCGGAAAGACGTCCGGGTTTATGGCCATGGGGTGGTTGCGAGAAAGGAAGAAGATAGAAAGAAAGGTGAGAACCAAGAGTTCACAACGGCGAAGAAGCGAAGTTTGCAAGCTGCAAAAGGAGAGAGGACCGCAAGAGCGCCTTACATTGGGCATTGACAATAGAGGCCCCCAAGTTCGCTATCAGGAGAAGCGCGAGCCAGCTCCGCAGCGGCGGACGACGGGGCGCCATCGCAGAGGTCGGAGTAAGGTTGGTATTAGAAGACCCGGTCACCGCGACGGACAACTACCGAACAACTATCGAACAAACGAACAAACGGGATTGCGGTGGCGGTTATGAAGAAAAGATCACTCAAAAGATTTGCTGGCTCGGGCGATTGGAGGGCTTAGATACCCTTAGATTCCCGTTATTTTAGTGCATGTTTTGGTGTGTATTTTGTGGAGGATCGGAGAAGAGCGACACTGCGCATGCTTTTGATTCGAGATGCTTCCCTAATGTCTTTATGCATGGGCCAATCGCATGCTGGATGCAGTGCACAAAGGCGGAGTTCGTGCTTCCCCGCACGTGACACCAAACGCGAAAACTGGGAGGCTTGTTTTTGTGGATTGGTGGCTTAGGCAGTGGGAGAGGGTGGCAAAACGAAAGCTTGCCACCTTTCCGAACAGAAAAGAAAAAAATACGCTTTTATATTTGCCGTCTGCCAGGATCGAACTGGCGGCCTTCAGTTTACGAGACTGACGCGCTACCACTACGCCAAGACGGCTCGTCTGATAGTAATAAATATAATATATATGACTCTAATTGTATTTCATTTCTATCCCTTCTTCGCCCCCTGCTTCTACCTACTTCATTTTTCAGAATCTCTGCTCGTATATGTGACAGGAAAGTAACTTCTCTGTACCAAGCTACCAATGACCAAACCCACTTATACATCTTTGGTCGAAACGGAAACCCCGCCAGAAAATCCATATATGTTCTTCTCCTTCACCTGATGCCGTATGATGCGATTTTCGAAAAACATATGAAACGGCAATGGCAAAGCTCCATTATATTCAAAAGTGACAATTCGGAAGTTGAAAACACAAATGAAGAACCGGAAAAGTCCCAGCATCAGTGGTTTTCGGGCTGGCTGTGGATCTAGTTTTCCGCGTCCCCTCCCCCTCCCCAACAGCTGTAGCTGCTTGTCCTTTCCTTCCTTTTCTTTGAAGCACATGTCACTTTCGCCATCACCCCAAACCCCTATAATCATGCGATCAGAATTTTCTTCCATGTTGCAGAAATCCGCTATCGATCTTAGCTTGTGTGTCATGCGCTTGGTTTGAAGCCAATGAACCGTATGGCGGTGATGGTTCCGATGGAGGTGATGGAGATGATGCCACAGCCTGAGATGAAAGAGTTTCCAAGACCAGGTTTTTGCATCGCACAGGTATGGGAAACGTACCTGATTTTCTCAAGTGGGCTTCGTTGTTACGTGCGAAAGTCTTCCAGCCGATATTACCCCAAAACCATCATGATGACGCCTCGTATGCTCATCCCCTCCTTGTGTCCATAGCATCACAACATCACTGTTCTGTTGCTGCACCTGAATGTACAGCGAACTCATAGATGCAGCCCGGTTGAAATCCACAACACGATCTTCATGTACATAGCCGAAAAGAAGGAAGACAAAAACTCGCAACCATGACACACGCCCCTCCTCATCAACGCCTCCTCACCACCCTCAATCCCGCAACAAATCCCCACTACTCCCACCTCTCTGCGTATCCTCAGCTCCCAACGGTATACCCACCTCCTCCACCTCCACCTCTACCTCCCTCCCCGCCTCCTTCCCATTCTCCCTCCCGTTCTCCTTCCCATTTTCCTTCCCATGTCC